TTGCCGGTACCTCTACATCAACATGACTGTCCAGGAAAGAGAAAGGTACAAAAGAGGAGGCTGTGGTCTGATTAGGGATGCTGGGTGGAAGGTAGACATCTGGAAACGTAGAGTGGAAGGAGACAGGGTCAGGGGGGAAGGTGTGATGAGAGGGGGGTTCTGAAGTCTCCACGGTGAGGTCTTCAGGCTGTGAGTTGTAGCCATCATATCCGACATTCCCAACTGTAGGCGACTGCATCCTTAGTTCAGTGGTATCTCTGTACCTGAAAGGAAAAACAACAACATACAGTTTAAGAAGCTTTAATGATATGATATGAATCTTTATTGCATGTTCTTGCCCAGATGGGCTAAATGCACAAGAGGACATGCAGTATGCAAAACATGAGTATTGCGTACTGGGACGCTATATTCTAATGCTAATTGCTAGGAATTTATACATTATAACAATACTAAATACTGCCTATCATCTACTGTTAGTTCTTAGCCCTTTCTTCTCTCTTTTTGAGACATTTGGAAACATAATTACATAGTTTGTCTGCTATACATCCGTTCTTGCATGACATCAAGAGTTCAAACATGTCCTGCTTTGACATTAATACGGCCATGTTGATTTGATTCTATGGATGACATCCTCTGGGAACCCCAAAACTGATGCGAGCGTGCAAATAAAAAAAGGTTTGGCAACAAAAAAAATTGCCTTCATTATGAATCTAGGCGGTCATGAAGGTTTAACAAATGACTTAACACACAAAGTACAATTTTATTGGCATGGTGAATAATTGTCTTCTTGTCCTTTGGAATGGATTTTGGTGTTCTGCTACAGTCCTGGGTGCCATGCCCTTAGAAAGTTAGATATACTAGTACATGTATAACATAAACTTGTTACATAAACTTTAAGCTCTTTACTGTCAGCCTGCCAAAATACTAAGTTAACAAAATGGTAACAAATTCAGTAACAGAGACCAAGGAGTTGACCTCCTAAGACCATTGCAAAGAAGTAGCCTGGTATCCAGTCTGATTCGTGGTCGGGGCCGCAAGAGCTCTGGCCCGCCCGCCTGACATAGGTTTCCCGGTGTGTATTTCACGAGAGATTGATTAGCCCTCCACGTGTTGGGGGAAACCAAATCCCCAAGCATATTGTCTCTTATTAGCGTAACTCTCCTGACCGGGACGGCCTGTTGCACTGGGCGGGGGGAAGCTATTAGAGCCCCCGAAGGCACAACCTGCCCGAACACCTCAATACCCCCAATCACGTAAGGGACTGTACGATATTTACCGGGGGGGAGGGCCGGTCGTCTGAGGGGGGAGGGCCTAGGAAAAAAAATTTGAACCAGGGGGAGGGCCTAGGAAAAAATATTTTAATTTGGGGGAGGGCCTAGGTAAAATTTTTTTAAGATCCCTTTAACTCTACAACGATTTTAAACACGTTCAAAACATGATTAAACGTCTGTCCATACATATCGTAGCGATTTGCCAGTCATTGGAATCGGCAGAATTTTACGTTCCAATAATATCCATCCCTATTATTATAATGTATTTGCCCAAATCTCCCACAGTCCCCTTCAAAATCTTGCATTTTCGCCAGAATCGGCGAAACTGGACCACACAGCCAAATTACATGGATTACAGGGACCTCCCTAAACAATGGAGCAGTGGAGCTCCTCCACCCAGTCCTTATCTCAGCTCCACTCTGTTAATTTTCAAAACTAGTGTTTTTACACCCTTTTCCAGGGTTCTTTGGTCAAATTTACCGATATTTTGCACCCTCCTCCATTCTGTCCAAAATTTCTGGGGAGATCCCTGGATCATTAAAATCGCGGCAATCGCGACACCGCGAAACCATACCGATCAAAAATGTAGGGATGGCTTGTCTGAAGATTTTGAAAATTAATTTTCGCCGTTCAACGCACCCTTCCCAGAGGTGTGCGTGCGTCGCCAAAGGTGACCCGCTGGTCCCGCCTCGCAACTCGCTCGAACTTCTCGGCGTGGATGTCGGATGTCGACGGATTAATTTGGTATTTTTTTAAACCAAGGACTATTTTAACATTTATATCTATGTCCCTCCAAAGTTAATTGAAAACAACACGTAACTTGGCAATATTGTTTCCCTGTTTGTAATAAAATTGACGCGGACGAAAGGTAGGCTAGATAGAGGATTATTTCGATTACACTGACTGACCTTAACGTTTAAAGACTGGATATCAGGCTATGCAAAGACCAGTGAGTAAAACGTCCCATATAGCTTAGTATAGCCAAGGACAATTTAGACACAGTGTATAATGTCCTTGCTATAGCCAAGCAGTCAGGCCAAGTGCCATTGAAGTTTTCGCGGACAAACTTGCTGGATCAGTTTCATCCAATGGAAGCCCCTCCCTGGAGAACATGCCGCCATGATTGGTGAAAACCTGACCTACCACAGCTCGGCTCTCGACTCACCTTTTAGCAGAGTTATAGCTGCAAATCAACAACACTGTGCTGCAGTCAAGATTCCGGAACTAATTCTAATAGCAGGGAAGGTTCCGTAAATTCCGGTTTGCACAAGTTTCAACGAGAAATCGCTGAACTATAACAGCATTAATCACTTGGTTGTGACGTTCTTCTGCGTATGTGCTGATCGGCAATGGTCGACAATGATCGGCTATATTCGGGAAAACGCGGAGGATACTTCGGATATCTTCGGTAAAACTCGGAAAGCGTCATCCCTACGTCCGATCGTTGTGGCATCCGACATTTGCAGATCATTGTTGTTTTCCTGTTCAATCCAAGCCGATTCACGATGAGTAAGGCACATCCTCCCGAATTGAAGAAGTAAGTATACTCTCTGATATATAATACAGAATTCTAAGTCATCATCGATCTCAAATGTTGTATTGGAAGCTGGTAAATTTGGTCGTTTTTCACGTGAAATTATGAATGTTTGTCTCGCACACTGTAACAGTGTAAGTAACGTTAGCGTTACGTTACTGTTCCTAGTACTGTATGGGGTGCCAATGTATTCAGTACTACAAATTTAATTATGAAAAATGCACGAAGCACCCTGCGAAGACGCACAAGTCTTATATATAAGTAAAACGTACGGATCACTACGTGAAAGAAAATTTCTACAATAATATCCACCCACCCCCTCCCCCAAGAAAATATTACCAACTTCCAAGTCTTTCCTATAATTAAACACACAATTTTGCGCCCCATGGTACACCTATAAAAAGTCTAAACAAGGGTCCTTGTTCTAAATAACCATGTTAAATCCATTCCTTCTGTTTGTGTCCACAGGTTCATGGACAAGCGGATGTGCTGTGAGTACAAATTCTTTGTCATTTCCTTACTCTGTGTGACAACAGGGCTGGAAAAATATTATGCACATGCAGGTAATCTGTGAATCAGAAATGGGAGCTAACTTAAAAATCTTACACAAGTACTACAACAAAGATTTTATTTTTTTCTGACCCTTAGATGCAAAGAATATCCTGTATACTCATCATACATTACTGTATACTATCATACCTTAAATATGTACAAAAATTATACCTACAAAAATATTTGGGTGCACCCACAGAAAAAATTGGGTGCACAGCTCCAATTTTGGGTGCACTAAGGTGCACATGCACCCAGTATTTTGAGCCCTGGGTCTGGATGGAATAAGTGACCTAAACCTGAACCACTGGATTTGAATCCAGTCCTGACCCTGAATGTAAAATGATGAATTTTACTATTGTATTTTATACCTTACCTCAATTGATTTTTGGAACAGTGCAGCTGAATGGCAACAGGAAGGTGTCTGGTATCCTGCGAGGGTTCGACCCCTTCATGAACCTGGTGATTGATGAGTGTGTGGAACTCCGAGGCAACGAGAGACAGAGTATCGGCATGGTGGTACGTACTAATATAGCATACGTATTACCTATGGGCAGACATGGAGGTGGTACGTATGTACTAATGCAGCATACCTTTGGGCAGACATGGAGGTGGTATGTATGTACTAAAGTAGCATACCTATGGGCAGATACGGAGGTCGTCTGTATTTAATAATATAGCACCCCAATGGGCAGATNAACAGTGCAGCTGAATGGCAACAGGAAGGTGTCTGGTATCCTGCGAGGGTTCGACCCCTTCATGAACCTGGTGATTGATGAGTGTGTGGAACTCCGAGGCAACGAGAGACAGAGTATCGGCATGGTGGTACGTACTAATATAGCATACGTATTACCTATGGGCAGACATGGAGGTGGTACGTATGTACTAATGCAGCATACCTTTGGGCAGACATGGAGGTGGTATGTATGTACTAAAGTAGCATACCTATGGGCAGATACGGAGGTCGTCTGTATTTAATAATATAGCACCCCAATGGGCAGATATGGAGGTAGTACGTATATATAGAATACAACACGGGGTATTCCGTATCGCCCGAGGTATCGGCCCGACCGCGGGTCGGATCACCCGACGGCCACAGGCCGGAGGGCGATCCTACTCGCGGGAGGGCCGGGACCGAGCGCGATGTGGAATACCCCATGTTGATTTTATTTATGTCATACCCACCCAAGAAAACGCGCCTTTCAATGCAAGATGAGCCAAAAGTTGGTGCCAGTAAACCCTAAAATGCAACAACATCAATTCCAACGTCCGGATTCTGTATTCGAATTTTCGAAAGGGGCCCACGCGGTCAGGGCGAATCGCGTTCGAATCGTTTTATGGAAGCGTTCGATAACGGGTTCCGGGCCGTACCGTAAAGTACGGCCCGGTCCAGAACCCGTTATCAAACGTTATCGCGGCCCGGGTATGATATAAGTACAAATATAGCATACCTGTGGGCAGATATGGGAGGTGGCACATAGGTACTATTGACCTATGGTCAGATATAGATACTATAGCTGTCCCAGAAAGATATGTTGCGTATTATTAGTAGTTGTGTCGCATGAGGCCACTAGCTGTAGGTAGTGTAGGTTTATATTGGTGCAGTACTGGTACATAGTGATTCTGTATTTTGGACCTGTACCTAGTCAACTATGTACCCATACTTAGCATTAATATATACTATTTTGCTCTCTTCTTCCATGTTCAGGTGATTCGTGGCAACAGTATCATAATGTTGGAAGCCCTAGAAAGAGTTGTCTGAGCTTACGCCATGGAGACGCTATGGTGAAAGGGTTTCAGCATTCAAGGGGCCAACCTGGAACAGACTTTAGTACTTTACTCCTTAGTTAGATCTTGCTATGGACAATATTGCTAACATTCGCATTGTGTTTAGTAACTGTACTTGGATACTGTACAAATTTTTGACAAGAAGGATCCTAGGAATTATGGAATTTAGTTTGTTCTTTCTTGTTTCAAATCAGAAGATCATGTAAAACCTGATACAGTTCTACCGATAGTAGATCATGGATGAAGATAAACTGTACATGTCATC